TTGCTCAGAAGTGCGCAGGAGATAAGAAGGGTAGATTTGGAATCAGTGTTTCGTATTCTTCAAGTCAGTATACATCTCATATGAAAAGGCCGCTTCGATTAACCTTTCTTCCCTTGTTAGTGTTTTATAACGAGAATAGGAGCCTTCGTCATATCCAAGATGACCAAGTGAGAGTTTAGATTGCTGTGCAATAGCATTAAGTAAAGGTAACGATAGTGAATTCTGATTTGTGATATAAAATTTGGAGACATTATGACAAGTATTCATTGGATTAGGATCTCAGGTTTTGTAATGAATCCCAAACGGATTTGAATTTTATTGTAGGAAAAGACCATGATCAACCGCGTCGCAGATTTGTTGTTGCACAATGGGAATGGGAACACTGCCGGAATTTGGGCTTATGGTCACGTTACCCATAGAAAATATTTTCAACAGATGTTTGATTCGTTTGTTAGTGAGTGGAATCCATTTGCTCAAGTGTCTGATGCAATGATGTCTTTCAAAAATGATGCATTGTTTCCACCAGCAGAAGCCGAAGTCGATTACAATATGCGGTGTGTCTTGGAATTTTTTCACTTGTATTCAATGTCTCACATCGTATCCAAGTTCTGAATAGAACATTTTTCAGTATATTTTCTGAGATCAATACAATTGATGACCCGAATGAGAAAGCGAACTGCTTGGTCTTCACATCGGCCATGTGAGATAGAATTTGCACTTTTGAATCAAAGCAAACCTGATTATAATTTCAATGCAGCGTCTTAGAGAATTGTACAGTCAAAATAAAAACCGACTTTTTTGCTCGGGAAAACGGCGAAATGATAGATTCGCTTGCAGGACACCTACTACCGAATATAAAATTGAACCAGTCTACGACTTGTACAAAAGAATTGTGGTAGTGAATTTAGGAGGTAAGATCACTATATCAATCGTGCTTATTTTTACATGCTACAAAATATTACCCTAATTTCATAAGCACAAGACAGGGCTTGGCACAGGTGCTTTGAAAGCAAGCTGGATATGCTTTGAGACAAAAAGCAAAGGGCGGTATCGGTTTTGAAGCTGAAAAGACACAAAAATTGCGGCGTTTTTTAGTTGACGTTTCGTTTCTCAAGGGTTTTACGTTAGAAGTTTAGCAAGGGGACTTCGCAAAAGTTAGCCAAAAGTCCAGAAGAACTTCGTTTCTTCTGAATTCGCCGCTATAGGATCTACCGTGCTGTTCCACCTCAAAAAATCGTGTGAGAGGGGAACACAGCTGCTTTCTTGAAAAAAAAAACAAGGCGTCTTGTATTCGTGAAATCAAATAACTGAAATTACAGCAAGTTCTGTTGACACATCATAATTTTTCAGAAGGTGACTTCGGTGAAATTGTGGACGAACG